TATTGAGAGAGAAAACTTCCAAATGGGGCATGGTCATGACTGCGATCCTGTCTCCTCTGCCTCTCCGTCCCGTCAAATTTCAGGCGCACGTGCACATGTGCGTATGTCTTTCAAGCTGTCAGTGCCAGGATTTGACGCAGTTGCCCACGAGGGGTCCCGCTTTCTATGCGTAACACTTACCTGCTGTGCTACAGAGCTGGCCCAACCAGGTTTCTTAACGAACTGGAAGGCGCCGGCCGGCCTCGTAGTACAGCGATTTAGGGACAGTACACTGGGAACTGGGTCCCACGTGGCTGGCTGCATTTCAAAACCTGGCCCTGCGGGGCTGAAGTGCACCCCAGGCACATAATGTATGCGTACCCCAAATCCTGACGGCATGGAGAAGTGGAGAAGGGATGCTCTGCTGGGAGGTCCTCTCTCCCTCTAAGTGCACGTCTCTGGTAATTAACAAAAAGGAGGGGGGGAACCCCAGGAGACCAGGTAGACAGGAGCGAAATGTCTCCTTCAAAGGCTGACAGGTGGTTTGTGTGGAGCCAAGTCGCTGCGTGCGGCAGAGAAACTGGCACTCGGCATCTGGGGCTGGAATGCCGGCTGGGACACAGCCACCCGGCCCTCGCACTGTCCCTGCCCCGTGGACACCCACTTCCTGCCTTTCATTCCTCACACGGTGAGGGCTCGCTGCCCACGCTGGGCTGGCTTCCACTCCGGTCTCTCGAGTTTCTTCCCTCAACTGCCTTCCCTCCTTCTGTATTCTTTGGCTCTACAGAGAATTGCAGGACTCAGTGGGGGCTGGAGATAGCTCGTGGGTGCCTCTATTTTGGGGTCTTGGGGGCCTCTGTTAACCTGTGATTGGTGGTAAATTTTTGCTTAGTTTTTTTTTTAATTGCCAGTAGGTACATGTACTTGGCAGGGAGAAAGAGGGAGAGGGGAAGCACCCTCCAGTGGGGTGTGGCTACACTTTAATTCTTTTTTGCCATTTCTCTATCATGCCAGGATTTGGGGCAATTCAGTGTGTTAATAATTCTTTTCCTCCATTTCTCTGTCATGCCAGGATTTGGGGCAATTCAGTGTGTTTCTCAAGTTGCCAGGGCTGGGATTCAAACCGTGGCTGTCCACCTGAGATCTGGCTTTCTATGCATAGCGCTTATCCAGCGCACTAGGGGCCAGCTGTCAGCAGCAAGGTTTATAGGTTCTACTCGGCAGGGAACAGACCTCTTGAATTTAAGAAAGAAATGGACTAGGCAGAGTCCACATTAAAGGACCCATGACCTAAGTCAAAGTTTGCCACATGAATTCTTACTGACTCCAATATCTAAGCGCTCTATCGTGCTCTGAAGTAACGCCAGTAAGCCCTACACACAGTCAGAATGCTCCCGCCTCCCTGCCGGACACCTGGCCAAGCCTGGGCCAACTCTAAGCAGGACGACGCCCGAGCCCTGCCGTGATTACAGATCCCCGTGCTGGGTGCTGCAGAAGACCTGCACTTGTCCCAGCTGTCACGTAGACACTTAGTAAATGCTGGCCCGTGTCCATCAGGGGCACCTGGCTTCTGTACCAACATGCTTGTCAACCTTCTCCTCTCAGAGTCGGGACATTCGGCTCCTGCAATAGAGTCTCAGCTTGGGCCTCCACTGTTCACAGCAGCACACCCCCTCCCCAAGCTATGTAACCACCTGCATGGGGATGGCCCCGACAGCCGGCAGGGGGTGGGATCAGGATGTTTGCTTTTGTTCACTTGAGCACCACATGCCTGGCACACTCGAAGCAATGAAACATGGCTCCACGGGGACCAGCAGATTGTGTAATGGTTACATATCAGACTCCCACATAGTTGACCACGGTTCTAGTCCCAGCCCTGGCAGCTTAAACTCACACCAGGTGCATGTGTATGTGTGCCCACAATTCCGAGAGGAGAATAGAGAAGGGATTGTGGCATGGCCATTCTCTATAGAGGGTGATTTCTTGCTTTCTTTCTGTCTCTCCAGCGAGATACCCTATAGCAAAAATCTCTTAAAAACCCAAAACAATACAAAAACCGCCAGATGCGTGTGCAGGCCTGCCTCCTGAGAGGAAAATGGGGAAGGGATTGTGGCATGGCCACCCCCCTGGGGTGATTTCTCACTTGCTGTCTCTGTCTCTCTGGCGAGCACACGCATCCAATAGCAAAAAAAAAAAAAATAATAAAATAAAATAAATTAAAAAAGGCTAAATTACTTCTAGTGATAGGGAAAAGGCTTTCAATTCCAAGGGTATAGTTGAGGAAATTATGGCTGAAGTAGTCGGAGGAGTGGGGAAAGCATTATTTCTAGGGGAGCCTCTGTACATGTGAGAAGCTAGAATCTGTTTTATTTTTTCTTTTTCTTTAGAGGTATTTTTGCTATAGGGTGCGTGTGCTCACCACAGAGACAGAGAAATCATCATCCAGGGGGATGGCCATGTCTCAGTCTCTTCTCCTCCATTCTCCTCTTGGGATTTTGGGCACACAGCACACGTGCCCAGTGTGAGTTTTAAGCCAGTGGATCCAGAACTAGACCCTCGATTACGTGGGAGTCCAGTGACATAATCAATACGCCACCTGATGGTCTGGAGAAGCTGGAATCTGAACCTGGAGAAGTTAGAATTTTGCAGATGCAATGTGGCCTATAAGTTGCATAGAAATAGAAATAATTTCTGGGTTAAGAAAAAGTCTTACCGGGAACCAGCAGTTAGCGTCATGGCTATGTCACTGGACTCCCACGTAGTTGACCACGGTTGGCGTCCTGGACCCGGTGGCTTAAAACTCACGCCGGGTGCGTGTGCGTGCGTGCCCAAGATCCCGAGAGGAGAATGTAGGAGAAGGGATTGCGGCGTGACCATCCCCCTGGGGAGTGATTTCTCGCTTTCTGTCTGGCGAGCGCATGCGGCCTATAGCGAAAATCTCTCCCAGAAAAAGCCTTACCTGGCCTGGCCTGTGTGTAAGAGCCTTGAGTTCTAATACTTGATCTGTAGCGCGGCCGTAGAAACCCCTATGGTGACGCTCAACTGTGCTAGGGGCCGTTTTTCTCGAGGTGATTTCATGATTGGAAACTGTCAAAGAAATGCGATTCGGTGCCGTGGGCGAGGCTGTCCTGGCAAGTACGCACCCGGAGACCAGAAGTAGCCTGGGCTGGTTTCCTCCGAGCCTCTGCCGTCGATGGCTCCTCTGGAGGCGGGCTGCACAGCCAACGTTCTTGCTGAGTGTACCCCATGTTGCTACAGTCGCGGGCTCCGAGGGGAACGCCAGGCTTTCCCACAACGCTGGACCTGGGCACAGCAGATGCCGTCTTGAACGCTTTGCTGGCAAGAGAGCTCCCCTGTGCTCACCCTTACCGTGAACTGGTTGGTCCTTCTGTTTTTCTTGTGGGTAACATAACCTACCTGTTCAGCCAAGGCCCGTGCCGGCCCGCTATGACAGTGATTCAGATCGTGGCTGCCCTGCAGAGACCCCTGAGGTTTGAACTGCTCCTATGCAGGGAGCTGTGTGCGCGTCGCGGTCTCGTTCAGAAAAGACGCACGCTGTAGTAACAGTGAGGGAACGCGCTGGGTTTTGGATAAACTTCGCTGCCATATCTTCATTAGCTCAAAGGAAAAAGAAAGTTATTAGTACGAGTGAGAATTTGAACACGTGGTTCTTTGGGGGACAAAGCTGCAACTCGGAAAACATGCGGAGCTGAAGGCAGATTTCTTAGGAAACCCCAGCCCCCGATAGGTGAGAAACCAGGCAGAGTTCGATGAAGACACAGTATAGCAGGAGGAGGGAAGGGCAGGGCAGGGACCGCGAGGAAGAATCTAGCGCTTACACTGTGACCTCCGGGCCACTCCAGCCCCAGTCTAAAGAACAGAGCTTCCAGAACTGGGGGAGATGCTAGCGTGTCTACAGCGGTTAATGTAAGAGAGAAATATTTGCAGTCCCCCTGCCTAGGTTTAAAGGGAGTGTTTTCAGGCCGTTGGAGGCCAGCAACTAGAATGTGAATGACATTCACAAGTCCTGTGTGGGTATTTACCCCTCTCCCAAACCACAGGAGAGAGGATGATTAAAAAATTAGGTTCTGTCTGGAATTTAATTTTTTAAAACATGTAAAGCCAAGTAAGAAAAATGAAAATGACCCGCTGCCAGGGTAAGCATCACTTCTACCCACTGGCACTCGCCCTTCATCCGAGGCACTGTGGAGCCCTCCCGCTTGCCGGGTCTGAGGGTCCGCCTGCCTCCTGGAGGGCAGAGGCGGAAGTGCGGGCTGTGGACTGCAGGTAGTCCGTGAGAACGCAGCTGCGCTTCAGTCGTCACCAAACCCAGGGGCGGTCTGAGTCCTGGGGAGGAGAGCAGCGCCGGATCTCTGGTATCTCCATGACCCAGATGACCAGATACGAGCCACAGGTGACCAAGTCTGGAGACAGGGTCTCCTATCAGGCTTCCGGAACAGACAGGGCAGATGGGAACTTTGGTTCCAACATCCAGAAGTGAAGGTGATGTGACAAAGGCAGTCACTTAGTGAAAACGAGATTCCTCGGCAGGATTCGAAGCCAGCAGAGGGCGCCAGCACTGAGTGCTCTGCCGACAGCCCGCCGGGCACCGCCTGGGAGTCCTGGCCACGGCGGCGCGGAGACGACGGCGGCAGGCCGGCGCGGCACGCGGGAGCAGCCGTAGGGAGACCAGCACACACAGGCCCTGCTCCGAGCTCACTCCAAGCTCCCCGTGAGGCATTCCCGGCCGGCTGCAGGTGCCTCTGCCTCTGAACACTGGGGATGTCAGCAGACAGGCTGCTCGGATGAGGGCAAGCGGATTTATACTAATTGCTACCAGGACTCTGGGCGCTCCAGCAGGACGACAGGACGGGGTCAGGTTCTAAGGGGACACATCAGCCTGTTCTTTCCCCAGTTCCTGGAACTTACCGCCCAGCTCGGAGGGGATTCTGACATTTGTCCCCGGTACCAGTTGTCACCACAGGTAAACCAAGACTATAATCACAACAGCAAGGACAGGGTTGTGTTGCTTTTTTCCTTTTTTTTTTCTCTTAAAGGAATGAGGGCATGGAAAATACAGCACACCAATGAAACAAAATGCCAAAAAAAAAAATACAAAAAAATAGAAAATAGAAAAATGTATTTACAAGTAGTACATTACTATGATCAGAAAGCACAAAGACACCTGCTGCTATATACATGCATCGGTTCAGGAAGCGACTAAGACCTTGTCGGGGAGAAGCCTGTGAAAGGGAAAGGGCCAAAAAGCTCTAACTTTTCATCCCTAATTTGCTACACTGATCAAAACCGAGTAAGTCTCGTAAAGTCCATGAATCTATCAGTACAAATGCTACGCCGGTTTCTACTGCAGGGTCGGTGGTGAAGGGGAGGGACAGCAGCTGATCCATGTACAGGAAGCCCGAGGAAACGGCCTACATGCTCGAAGTTACAGCAAGCCCTGTGCTACACAGCATGATCTTAGCAAGTTTGAACTGTTTATTCATATATATATATATCTGTGTGTGTGTGTGTGCATGTATAAAAACCGTGCCCTTGTTCACTGCCAACACAACATCTGGGTGGACATGAACTCATTACAACACATTCTCACGTGTATGTTGTAAGAAGTCACTCGATGTCTGTGGATTTAAGAAGTCACTTCACACCACAGAAAATATTTAATAAATCCAAAAAAAGGAAAGAAGAATATAACGACAGAAGAGCTTCTGTCTCAGTTCTCTGAAACTGAGTCCCCCATAGGAAACTGGTCCCAAAGTTCTTGGGGTTCACTGAAGAAATTCCGGTTTGCTAACTTTTGTCATCTTTTTAGTGTTCAAAAGTTCTGGAACGACTCCTTGCCGTTTTCAGTTTTTAAACAGTCCGATCTCCATTGCCCCGCAAGGTAACAGTCTGGTGCAGATCCATAAAAACGGGGAGGAAGGAGCGCTGGAGGGCCTGTCACTTCTGAAGGGACTCCACCTCCGCAACCGCAGAAAGGGCAGGAACCGAACGGGGCTCCAGGACCTCTCTGCCAACAAGCTCTCTTTAAATGCCAAGTCCAGTCCCACGGCAGTTCCTTAAACAGGTACGTCTCTCAGTACCAGACCGGCTCTAAGAGGGAACAAACCACGCGCTGAGAAGAGGACCACGCTGGCCCTTCTGGTCACTTCCGTGTGATCCATCATACCTCCAGGAACCGGGAGCTGCTGGACTTGGAGTGGAATGGCTCAGACCACATCCGCCGCAGGTCACCCTGGGAAAGCGAGGGGTCACCACGTTACACCGAAATGGGAAGCCAACAGGACCAGTCCTTTCTGAGCCCAGATCAGACTGCTGAGAGGTGTCGAAGAGCACTCAACTCTTACTCATTGAAAAGGAACCCGCCATTTTAGAACTTAATAGAAGTGCAGTTCACAGGCACCTTGAGCAAGAAAGGGCTTTTTACAATCTCTGTATTAGGTTGTCAGTAAAGTCATGAAATATTTTTCTATGCAAAACGCCATGCCATGTTTTTTCTTCATATAGAGAAACGTGTCATGACTTTGCCGATGGCCTAACAAGTTCTATCACTGACCAGTCAGGTGATCTAGGCAAGGTGATTAACCTCTACGTCTGTGAAATGGGGATGACGACACAAGTCTTTCTGTAATACAACACTCTCTCTAAATCTTTTCTTTTTCCTTTGGGGAGGTTTTTGCTATAGGGTGCGTGCACTCGCCGGAAAGACAGACAGAAAGCAAGAAATCACCCCCCAGGGGAATGGCCACACTGCAATCCCTTCTCCTCCATTCTCCTCTTTGAATCTTGGGCACACATGCACATGTGCCTGCCCTAAGTTTAAGATAATGGGTCCGGGACTCGAACTGCAGTCGACTACATGGGAGTCCAGCGACAGAGCTGTTATGCCATCTGCTGGTCCCCTTCTAAATCAAGTTTTTATCACACTGCCTCAATAGCAGCAAATCTTTCTTGATCACTTCCAAATTTTAAAGCAAAATATTAAAAATAGTGTTAGGTGGCATTGGGCACTGTTTTCAGGAGAAGCAGGAAGCCTGCAGAGGTGGGCTCTTGGGATTTTCCTCAAGCCAGGACCAGGTGGTCCAGGACCAGGCGGTCTGTGGTCTAGCTTGTTAGCCAGGTGAGCATCCAAAGCACAGCAAGACCTAGCGCTCAGGGGCTCAGGCAGAACCACCCCTACTCAGGACAGTAAGCCCCCGGGCATAAGGTAGATGCCAACTTACTGCTTCCCGTTTCTAACCACTTCTCTTACCTTTAAATAGGCCATTGTGAGGAGTGGCAATAAGGTAAATGGCACCAAATAGAGAAGGGCGGGCTGGGCGGCTCGGTGAATGCGGGATGCCACGGTAGCAGTGAGCAGACCTGCGAAGGCAGACAGACATTCGTGAGTGGCTTCACAGGGCCAGCCCGAGAGGGCCTCTGTCACCTGGTTGCTGTTGGCAAAATGCTGAAAGTGTGTACATCTAATGGGACAGGCTCCATCCTAAGGATAGGGTGCAACTTCACAGCTTTAAAAACCTACAACTCCGAGCACTTTGATTGGCTCAGGTCCCGCTCCTTGCTCAGGTTCCTGGGCTCATGCCCCTCTTTAGCTGTCTCCTGTGGTGTGTGATATTGGACTTAGAGGTAAAAGACGTTGGGTTGATGTTCCAACTCTGCTACTTTTTATTTTGGAAGAGATTTTAGCTATAGGGTGCGTGTGTTTGCTGGAGAGACAGAAACGGAAATGTGAGAAATCACCTCCCTTCTCCTCCAATCTCCTCTTGGGGCTTTGAGCATGCATGTACATATGCCTGGTATAAATGTCAAGTTGCAGGGTCTGGGACCCGAACTGTATTAGACTACACGGGAGTCCAGTGCCTGCTTAACCACTGCACCACTGCCTTGAGTAGTCATCTAACCTGGGTTTAGGCCTCTTAACTCTTGACACCTCAGCCTGCTCGTCTAACGGAAAATACCACCTGCTCTGCTGTCAGTTTTTGGCTTGAGATGAACTCGTGGATGAGATGCTGATGGTAAGAGGAGGCTGGAGGCGAGAGAGATGCTCTTTTCCACTCATCTGCAGTAGCAGGTGCAGACAGGCTACCACTATTCCAGGCCTAAGCCAAACTGTCCCTTCCTGCCTGCTTATAAGTGAGTTGGCTAGAGACAAATTGGTCTGAGGAGAGTCCTAGGCCACAGGTGGCAGAAGTGCCAAAATGAATGAAGGCCAATCTGTTTAATAAACATGATGTTCACTGAACTCAAGTAGTGGAGCCGCTGGAGAAGTCAGATCCAAGGTGGTGACTGTGGTTTGAAGCCCCAGACCAGGAGGCCAAAAACACGCTGGACACACACGAGTGTCAAAATCCAGCAGGCTAGGGTAGGGGGCTGCAGCATGACTGGACCCTGTGGAGGGTGCCCCTCCGTCCCTCGTCCTGCCCTCTCTGTGTGCATGCATGTGCTCTATCCTGAATAAAGGGGGGAAAACTCGAGAGGGAGATTTAAGCAGAGAATAAGCCTGGAGCGCTGCACCATGTCCTTTGAGGACTGCCCATGCTCTGCCCATGGTGTGCTTCAGACATGCTGCTGGACGGGGGACCAGGCATCTGGCATGGAAGCCACTTATCACGCCAGGGGCCAGGAAAGGTTCTTTGTTGTCTAACACAGCCAGAGCCGCTGCTCTCCTCCCGCCCAGTGTTTGCAGCTACAGGACCTGATTTAATTCCACAGCTTGGAGGGCGGCCAGAGGGAGGGGACTGTCCGCAGTCTCCCTGGTGCTCTCTTACCTACGAAGTAGCCGATGAGGGTGCAGTGAAAGTAGGAGACCTTCTGCATTCGCCCAGAGATGTTGGCAGGTCCCGAGGCTCCGCAGGAGTCGCCGCTGGCTTGTTTTTTGTAGTTGTCATACCGAAGAACGAAGCACAACAGGAGCCCGGGCATCACAATGTCCCCAATGCCCAACATGGAGAAGTGACTACCCGTGGAGCTGGAAGGCAGGTCTCTATGTTAGACATGCCACATTCTGCAGTCCCGTTTCAACTGGTGCTGGGCACAGCCCGTCACCCCTCTAAGTCAGCCCGTGGAGCTGGAAGGCAGGTCTCTACGTTAGACACGCCACATTCTGCAGTCCCGTTTCAACTGCTGCTGGGCACAGCCCGTCACCCCTCTAAGTCAAAGAACTTGACTGAGTGGGGCTGGAAATCTCTACTGCCTGAACACCACTGGTTTGTGAGTTTCGACATTTGAAAGCCACGAGAAGGCTAGCAGGGCTCCAGCCTGCCTCTCAGTGCCGTGGAAGAGATCTGCTTAAGCGCTACCTTCTCAGGAATGTCAAGCGATTCATTGTCTGTGACACTGCTGAGACTTCAAATAAACACCTGACTACTGTCAGACATGAAAGATTAAAACAGCACATTAATTTTGCCCAGATTATATTACTGAGAACAATGTAATTTTATCATTTGAACATATAAATGTCTCGGAGGTTAAAGGAAGATCCAGGTTTTCCTGTTGATTCCCTCCAATCATCTGTAAGCAGCAGGAAGAGTAAGGTATGGCTGCGCGGGTCAGTGGTAAAGCAGCACCCGCTCCACTGATGGCTCTGAAGTCAGTATTCACGTCCTCGTCTCCTCGCTTGTTCTATGGGGCCATGACTCACACCCTTTCCAGTGCAGGATTATAATTTCCACGACAAAGGACAGGCTCAAAAGACAAGGAGGGCCTATGGTGACTGTCACAGGATGAGACCTGACAGGCCTGTCTTACCTTGGGAAGACCAGTTTTCCAGGCAGAGAGAGGCGAGGAACATCACGCCCAACGTTGGGCCCCAGGTGGAGCTTCCGGGACAGAACGTCGAGGGGATTGTCCGCCGGCTGCGTGGCCACCTTCACCATGACGTTGCTATTGAAGATGTAGGCTGAGAAGAATACCTGTCCAAGTGGAGAGAAGCCATTACCAAAGGGAGCAGGAAGCAAGCTGCTTTCGTGGTTAAGTGGCCTCTTTGTGGTTGAGCGTGGTCTCAGAATACTGCAACAGCAGTGTTTCCCTGGCATGCCTTGAGGAAAAATTCTTTGTTCACTGTGTGCTTGGAGATTTCGGCACTTGTCTCCACGCCCAAAGATTACTCTTACTGGGTGTGCTCTGTCGTCCTGCGGAGAGTCTCACACACTGCCTACTGCATTACATCTCAGCAAGCAAAAGGCCGAGGCAGACGCCTGAGCGCCCGCCTTCTACCATGGACGGTTCGGGACCAGAGGGAGAGGTTGGATGTGGCTGGGTAAGCCAGACTTTGGACACTGACAGCTCAGTTCAATTAAACACAAAGGAGAGCGGGGGCTTCCCAGGAAACATGCTTACCCAAAAGACATCATAGATCAGAAGCCCTGAGAGAAGCAGGCAGGAGACCTTGAGGCTCGGCAGGCGGACGAAGGCGATCATGGCGACACAGAGACCCATGGCCAGAGCTGGGGAGGAGACAGCACGGACAGTCAGGCTGAGGGCTCAGGCTTCCACAGGCTCATCAGCTCATTGACCTGACAGTCTGCAGGCCCTTCCGAAACCAGGGGCACCTGCGCTTGCCCAGCGTGTCTACCCCACTGACGAGGTGCCCACTGCAGCTCGCCTGGACTGCCGGTCAGTCTGCGGAGATCCTTTTCCTCACGGTATACAGGCGCTCGGCTGCTGGAGCCCCAGGAGATGGCTGTTTTGGGCCATCCAGCTGTAAGCCGGGCTCAGGGGTCACACTGAGCTCTCACTTCCTGCCTTCCCCCAGGCTGTGGAAGCGTTGTCCCTGCTCCTGGCTTTAACGCACACCCAAGCTTCCCTCCCTTTCACTCACCCAGGGACACGGCTGCACCGATTCAGTCCCTTCTCCTTGCTGATCTTTTCCCATCAATATACAAAAGATTCTAACATGCATATACGACTTGTCCTAAAAAAAATCTCTGGAATAATAGGAATGTACATTTTTTAAAAATTTTTCTTGACTGGGAACCAGCTATCACCCCATTTCTCTGGTTTCTCTTACAGCAAAGGCCCTCAATAGGGTTGCTGAAATAGGCTGTTCTCAATTATTTTCTTCCCTTTAAAAACAAATTCTGGGCTAGTAGGTGGCATGGTGGTTAAGGCACTGGACTCCTACACGGTTGACTGTAGTTTGAGTCCTGGAGGCTTGCTTTCTCACCCCCCCGCCCCCCTCTGGTGAACACACGTGCCCTATAGCAAATTAAATAATAAGTGAAATTAATTCTTTACAAAAAAAGTCAACTCCATGGGTCCAGCAGATGGCATAATGGCTCTATCACTGGACTCCCATGTAGCTGACTGACCACAGTTCAAGTCCTGGACCTGACAGTTAATTAAACTCACGCTGGGTGCATGCACGCATACCCAAAATCCTGAGAGGAGAATGGAGAAGGGATTGTGGCATGGCCATCCTGCTGGGGTTGATCTCTTGCTGTTTCTGTCTTTCTGGCACGCACATGTGCCCTACAGCAAAAATCTTCCACCAAAAAAACCCCACAAAAAACCATGTTGGGAGTGTGTGCATGTGTGCCCAAAATCCCAAGAGGAGAATGGATAAGAAGGAATTATGATGTGGCCATCCCCCCGGGGGTGATTTCTTGCTTTCTATCTCTCTGGCAACTGCGTGCACCCTATAGCAAAAATCTCTTAAAACAAAAAAAAGTAAACTTATTACAAAAGCATTAACTGCATTATAGAGACCCAGAGAGTATAGTCAAGAAAGAAAAAATGTTTTTTGAGAGGTTTTCGCTATAGGGTGCATGCACTCACTGGAGAGACAGAGACAGAGAGACAGAAAGCGAGAAATCCCCCCCAGGGGGGATGGTCACGCCGCAATCCCTTCTCCTCCATTCTCCTCTCGGGATCTTGGGCACGCACGCACACACACCCGGCGTGAGATTTAAGCCACCGGGCCCACGACTTGAACCGCGGTCGACTACGGGGGAGTCCAGCGACATAGCCATTACGCTAACTGCTGGTTCCCAGTCAAGAAAAATATTAATTATCTTCCCCCCAATTTTTTTCTTACTGAAAAATGGGCACATGTGTTCGCCAGAGGGACAGAGAACAAGAAATCAGCCCCCAGGGGACTGTGTGTGTGGGAATGGCCATGCTGCAATCCCTTCTCCATTCTCCTCTAGGGATATTGGGCATGCATCCACATGCACCTGGCATGAGTTTTAAGTCACCAGGTCCTGGACTCAAACCACAGTTGGCCATGTGGTAGTCCAGCACCTTAACCAGTATGCCATCTGCTGACCCTCAGAATTTCTCTTAAAAAAAAAAAAAATAGTGCCGGGAGAGAGAACATGAGAAGGCACCTGCCAGGGAGGATGACCACACTGCAATCCCTTCTCCTCTTGGGATTTTGGGCATGCACATACATGCGGCTACTGTATTTTTCAGGCTCTCAGTTCCAAGACTCAAACCATGGGGGATCCAGCTGCATTAACCACCATACTATCTGGTTTGCATCACTTTTTTTTTTTTTTTTGAGAGAGAGATTTTTGCTATAGGGCTTGTGTAGTCACCACAGAGAGAGAGAAAGTGAGAAGTCACCCCCTTGGGGGATAGCCATGCCACAATCCCTCCTCAGCCATTCTCCTCTCGGGATTTTGGATACACTTGCGTACACATACCTGGTCTGAGTTTCAAGCTGCCAGGTCTAGGATTCAAAGCATGGTCCGACATGTGGGAGTCCAGTGCCTTAACCACTATGCCACCTGCTAGCCCCCACAATCTCCTCAAAACCAACAGTCTTGTTTCCATTTCTGTAAACTTCCATATCATTTCATTTCAGTCCTCTAATATACTCCAAAAATGTCGTTTCTGGCTGATTTGTCTGAGCCAGTATTCACATCCAGGACCTGTGCATCTATATGACATCTTTTGCATTTTTTTCTTTTTTTCAATCTGGCAAAGTTTTTTCTTAAAAGTTTGCTATAGGTCATGTGTGTGTGCTTGAGAGAGAGAGGGGCCAGCAGGTGGCATCGTGGCTCAGGAGCTCGACTCTCACATGGTCAACTGTGGTTTGAATCCCAGACTCATTGTCTTGAACCTCATGCTGGGCACATGCCCAAAATCCTGAGAGGAGAATGAGGAGAAGGAATTATGGTATGGCCATCCCCCTGGGGTGTGTGTGTGTGTGTCATTTCTCACTTTCTCTCTGTGTCTCTGGTGAGTACATTCACCCTATAGCCCCTGCCCCCCAAAAAGAACCCCCACAAAAATACCCCAAAAAACTTAAAAAAAAAAATCTTAAAAACAAGAAAAAGGGGGGGGGAAGAGCCCCTCCCCCAGGGGGCTGGCCAAGTTGCAATCCCTTCTCCTTCATCCTCTCTGAGGATTTTGGGCACAAACGCAGCACATGGGCCTGATGTGTTTTTTTTCTCTGAGAGATTTTTGTTATAGGGTGCTTGTGCTCACCAGAGGAACACAGAGACACAAAGTGAGAAATCACCCCCCCCCCCAGAGGGGATGACCATGCCACAATCCCTTCTCCTCCATTCTCCTCTTGGGATTTTGGGCACACATGGCATGAGTTTTAGCCTCCAGGTCTGGGACTTGAACCTTAGTCAGCCATGTGGAGTCCAGCGATGTAACCATTATGCCATCTACTAGTTTTTCAAGCCACTAGGTCCAGGACTCAAACCAGGCAGTCGGCCACGTGGGCCCACCATGCCACCTGGCTGGCCCAGGCAGTCTCTTCAAATCACTGAAGACCTAAGTCGTTTGTCCTATAGAATGCAGAACTGGTGGGTTTTTCCTGGTGTTTCTCCCTGTGTTGGCTGGCTTTCCCTGCATTTCCTCCAAGTTAGATGCCGTCATCTGAAGGACTAGGTCACTTCTAGTCACTCTCTTGTGGCCACTGTCCCGAGGGCTTTCCTCCCTCCCTGTCACGCCACTGACAGCGCTCCTCAGGACTGCTGAGGCTCCTCTCATTGCCAAGTGCAGTCATCACCTCTGACCTCATCTCATTTGACCGTTCTGCAGCAACCCCCCAGCTGATGGCTCCCAGGACACTGTGTGCTCCTGGCTCCTCCGTCTCACTGGCCATTGCCAACCAGGCATCTCTGTATCTCTTCCCCAGTTCCCAGACCTCCTTGAGCCTGTCTTCCAATCTTTATTCTTACCTCCACTCACACCTGTGGTGGTCTTGTCCAATCTTGAGGCCTTAGAGACTATTTTACATGTTGTTAACTGGCAGGTTTTTTACTCGTTATTCATGATTGTGTGTGTGTACGCACATGAGAGTGCGAGAAAGGGGAGAGGGAGGAGCAGCACCCTCCACAGGATGTGGTCAATACCGCAATCCCCTTACACATGTACTCAGAGGGTTTTATGGGCTGACTGGCCAGAGGATTTGAACCATGGGACTCAGCTACCGTTGAGCAGTACGTTACTGCCATGCCTCAGAGCCAGCCCAGCTGGCACATTTTTATTTCCTGTCTGTACTTTTTTGTTTTAATATTTATTTATTCATTCATTTATTTTAATTTGACCAGAGAGAGATACAGAGAGTGAGGGAAAGTGAGAAAGCAAGCCACCAGGTCCAGTATTTGAACCACAGTCAGCCATGTGGGAGTGTCCAGCACCTTAACCACCATGCCACCCGCTGGTCCCCTCCTGCCTGTACTTCTAAGACCTCTCAACTCAAACATCAATCAGGCCACATATATAAAAGTAAATACATTTAAAAAATTATATTAATATGTACATATTTTAAGACTTTAATTCCATTTGTTATTAACATTTTTAAAATTTAACCAGAGAGAGAGAAAAGGAAAGTAAGAAAGCAAGTCGCCAGGTCCGGGACTCAAACCACGGTTGGCCATGTGGGAATCCAGTGCCCCTAACCACGCCACCTGCCAGCCCCATGGCCTGATATATTTACTTGCACACTGAACAGGCCTCTCAAATCTATCCTGAGCTCGGTTCTTCTCTAGACTGGTTCTCACTGCAGCTTCCATCCCATGACCAGTTGTGCAGACCGCAATCAGTGGTCACTGACTCCTTTGTCTGCCTCACCCCTGCCTGCCGGGCACAAGCCACCATTGTCTCTCGCCTGGACTGCTGCAGTAACCGCCCGCTCACTGCTCTGCCGCATCTTGCCCCACAGTCTCTCCACAAGGCAGACAGAAGGGTCTTCTGAAACCCTAAGTCAGGTTTCACCGGTCCCTGTGCAAAACCCTGAACAACTTTTCATGCAGAATTGAACTGCAGTTTTCACACGAGTGACAGCTCCTACCGCCTGTCACCCTAGTTACCTTTTCCCAGCAGTCCCCTGTTCGGCAAACATCGCCTCATCACTCCTCCTCGGACGTGCCCAGCATGTATCCATTTTGGTGCCTTGGCCCTTGCTGTGCCCTATGCCAGGAACATCCTGTCACAAAATCCACCTGGCTCTCTCCCTCATCTTCCTCAGGTGTTCGGTTTCAAC